GATGACTGAGACTTTAATGTTCTAAGGATTACAGGTGTCCACCACCATGCTAGAGAAAGGAATAGAGGATTAAAGTTTCTGGAGAGTGGTGGAGACAAATTATGGGAAAGTGAAGGGAGGAAATATATGGTAAATAAAAATTACCTTGTTATGCAGATAAACATCTCTTAGGTGATAAAAGTTGTCTCAGAGTAACTCTCTTCCTAGTATAGATATTTTTGCCAATAAAAATTATCTTTAAAAATCAAATTTTTCTTATAAAAGGGTAAATTTATACTTTGTCTTAAGCCGCTGAAAGGGAGGTAAAGATTTTTTTAAGCACTGGCTGTTTGTCAATTTCTTTTAGCTCAAATAATCAATATGCCCAAATAGCATATTTTGCAGTGACATGTTCTAAACTCCTTCAGAAACATTATAATTACACTCTGATTGAAAAGGTAAAGAGAAAAATGCTAAAAGCAGCAAAAGAAAAAAACATTATTTTCAAAGAATTGATAAAAAAAAAAATCAACTGCAGATTTTTCAACTGAAACTATGGAAGCAAGAAGACAATAGAATGACACCTTCAGAATAATGAAAAAAAGAGACTTATCTATGAATTCACACACAGTGAAAAATATCCTTCAAAAATAGTGATAAAATAAAGACATTTTATAAGTCAAACAAAAGCTGAGCATATCAGTCCCTAGTAGGCCTGCACTACAAGAAATACTAAAAGGAGTTGTACTAGCTGAAATAAAAGGATCTCAGAAGCACAGAACTTCAGGAAGGAATGAAGATCACCAGAAATGGGACATATGCAATTCAATATAGGAGGATATTGACTTTTAAGGGTTTATAGTATTATACATTAAGTAAAATATATGAAAACAGTAGCACAGAAGTCAGGAAGAGTCGAACGTAGTTAAATTTTTGCAAGGTTTTTGCATTGTTTGGGAAGTAATAAGAGTAATAAGGTTAACTTAAAGTTGTTAGAGTTGCACGGTAAAATCTCTAGAGTATCCAAATATTATAAAAATAGAAAAAGGGAAATGTAAAAAGCAAATAGAGGAGATATACTGATTTAAGTTTTAAATCTTTAAGAAAGGAAGAAAGAATACTAATCTACACAAACTATTCCAGAAAAGACAAGTGAGAGAATACTTCTCAGCCTATTTTAAGAGGCCAGTAAATCCTGATACAAAAACTTGACAGGGACACTAGAAGAAAGAAATATTAAATGCTAATCTCTCTCATGAACACAAACACAAAAATACTAAACAAAATATCATCAAATCAAATGCAGTGATAATAAAAATATTACACCATGACCAAATGGAGTTTATTTGAGAAATGTAAGGTTGGTTTAACATTCAAAAGTCACTCAAGGTAATTTGCTATATTAATCAAATGAAAGAAAAAAAACAGTCATTTCAGTAGATGCAAAAAAAAAAAATGACAAAATTTAGCACCCATTTGTTATATGTTTCTTAGTAATCTAACAGAAGATGGAAGCTTTTAAATATAAAGATTAGAAATATCTCCCCAAAATATGCCACTTTGGCATAAGGCTTATTTTGAGCTAAAGACAATTGGGGAAAAGCAGATACAAGAAAAACTCTGTCCTTTCCCTATTTTCCTAAAAGCAGGGAATAAATATACATGAAAGTGTCCCCTCCCCTCTCAACCAAGAACACCAAAAGCAAATCACCAGATAGAAATGACTTTAGACCCTTATCAGACTGGAGACAGTAGCAGAACGTCTACATAACACAACTAGCATTTATCTACCATTAGTTTCCTGTATATTTGCCTTCCTACAATTTCCTAAATTGTAGGAGACTCAAAGTCCTTTTCTTTTGTCTTGTCACTTCTCTAAAAGTTTATTATTTTTTGTTGAAGATGTATAAGCTGGAGTTTGAAGCTATCTCTGTGAGAATTACTTATTTTCTGGGTATCCCCTAGGCATATGTAAGATATACATGTTAACAAACTTGTTTGGTTTTCTCTTGTTAGTCTGTATTTTGTTTCAGAAGCCCCAGCCAAACATTTTAGAAGGGTAGAAGGGAGCTTATTTTTCCTCCCCATACACCCATGGTTAGCATCATACTTATTAGTAAGAGTGCTTTCCCTCTGAAGTTACGACTAAGACATGCTGTTAATTATTACCATGTTTACAATTAACATCATACATAACAATATGAAAATGCCCCATCCTCCAAATTTGAGAGCAAGACAATGATGTCCAGTGTCATCACTTTTACGAAAGGTCCTAGCTAGAGCAATAGGGCATAAAAAGTTTATGTAGATGTTAAACATTAGAAAAGAAAAAGTAAAATTGTCTTTAATTGCATATATTCTGTACCTTAAAAATATCAAAGAATATACAAGCTTTTTTTTTTGCTTTGTTTTTGAGATGGAACCTTGCTCTGTTGCCAGGCTGGAGTGTAGTGGCACGATCTTGGCTCACTGCAACCTCCGCCTCCCAGGTTCAAGCGATTCTCCTGCCTCAGCCTCCTGAGTAGCTGGGACTACAGGCATGTGCCGCCACATCCAACTAATTTTTGTATTTTTAGTAGAGACAGAGTTTCACCACGTTGGTCAGGATGGTCTCAATCTCTTGACCTCGTGATCTGCCTGCCTCAATCTCCCCAAAGTGCTGGGATTACAGGCGTAAGCCACTGTGCCTGGCCTATACAAGCTATAAAAATTAATAAGTGAATTTAGCAATTAAAAGAATATGGAATATAAGAACAATATATTGAAATAAGTTTTATTTTGATGTTGATATAAGGTTAATCTAAAATTAATTATATTTTTGTATACTAGCAATAAGATTAAAAATGAAGTTAAAGTGCTATTTACAATAAAATGAAAACATCAAAAATTTAAGCGTAATACAACAAAACATAAGCAAGATCTATTCACTGAAAACTATAAAGTATTTCTGAGTGACATTAAAGAAGACCAAAATAAATAGATATAAAATGTAAAATTATTGGAGGACAGTATTGTTAAGGTGTTGATTCTCACCAAATTGATCTATAGATATAAGGCAATTTCAATCAAAATCCCACCAGGGATTGTGTGCATAATTTGACAAGTTGATTCTAAAATTCTTGTGGAAAAGCTAAGGACCTGAAAGAACCAAGACAATTTGGAAGAAGAAAAAAGGTGGGCAAATATGATCAGATTTCCAGACTTATAATAAAGGTAACTAAGACAGTGTAGCGTTGATGTAAGGATAGGGACACAGACCAGTCTAGAAACAGATGGACATATAGATGGTCACTTGACTTATAACAAAGATGCTATTGCAAGCTAATTCATAAAGAATGGTGTTTTCCACAATGGTTTTGGAGCAACTGCTATCTTGAAATAAAAGTAAAATTTCAGCCTACCTTATCCCATGCACAAATAGAAAATAAACTAAAATGTAAAGGGTAAAACAAAGGCTTGTAGAAGGAAAGAAACATCAGACAATAGATGCCCAACTCTGAGACAAAGAAAGATTTGTTAAACAAAACACACAAAAGCAGTCATCTTTTAATCACAAAAGAAAAAATTAATGTTGTGTTTCATTAAAATTAAGAGAATAAAAATATAAGCCCCAAACAGGGAGAAGATATTAAAACTATTATATCCAACCAAGGATTTATACCTAAAACAGAGAGCGTGCCTACAGATCAGTAAGAAAAAGACAAAAAAACCAATAAATTGGTCAAAAGACTTGAAACTTTACAAAAGAATATCCAAATGGCCAATAAGCATAAGAAATTGCTCAACATTAGTAATCATCAAGAAATACAAATTAAAACTATATCAAAGTTTTAATTTCAATGTAATTTACACTACACACAAGAATGGCTAAAATTAAAAGCACTGATAATGCCAAGTTATGGCAAAGAAATAGAACATCTGGAATTCTCAAACATTGCCGATGGGACTAGGACTGTAAATTGCCACAACCACTTTGGAAAACTGTTTGGTAGTACTGTATCTACTAAGGCAAAGTACTGTATCTATTTACTAAGGCAAAAACAGGTATTTATCTTGTGACCCAGCAACTCTATTCCTAGTTACATATTCAAAAGAAAAGAGTACATATGTCTATCAAATGTTCATAGCAGGCTGTGCGCCGTGGCTCACACCTGAAATCCCACCACTTTGGAAGGCTGAGGTGGGTGGATCATCTGAGGTCAGGAGTTTGACATCAGCCTGGCCAACATGCCAAAACTCTGTCTCTACTGAAAATACAAAAATTATCCAGGCTTGTTGGCGCATGCCTGTAATCCCAGCTACTTGGGAGGCTGAGGCAGGAGAATTGTTTGAACGCAGGAGACAGAGGTTGCAGTGAGCTGAGATCATGCCACTGCACTCCAGCCTGGGCGACACAGTGAGACTCCATCTCAAAACAACAACAACAACAACAACAACAAAAAAACGTTCATAGCAGCCATAATTATTCATCACAGCTAAAATCTGGAAGCAACTCAAATGTCCACTCATAGGAGAAAGGATAAATAAATTGTGTTATATTCAGGCAATAGAATACTATTCAGCAATAAGAAAAAAATGACCTACTGATACATGTAATGATATGGATCCTAGAGCGGGCCAGGCATCTGCGGTGTTGTACTGTTTGAGCCCGCGTCCGAATTTCCAGTGTCCTTTCCTTGCTCCTCACTTCCTCCTAGAAGGAACCCTATTCTCCTAAAGAGCCTTTCGGTGCTGAGCCTTGGCAGTTTAGTTTGCTGAACTCTCTTCAGTGGAGTTAGTGGGTGGTGGTTTGGAAGTAGGGAGAAAGAGGTGGAGGGCTTGTTTGAATGCACCAAGCCTCGCAGGCTTTCCTCCTCCCCGCGCTGGTCAGGTAGGTTCTTTTCAGTTCCTGATGAGGCAAACGAAAACAAAGCAGTTGAGCAGCACCAAAGTATATACTTTGGGGGCGCCGTGATCAGAGGATTCCCTTTCCCGGGAACTTGCGTCTAGTCCTCTGACACATCCTAGTTCGGAGTGGGTGGAAGGGCATGTGGAGTCCACAGCGCCCCCTCGCCCTAGGCGGGGTGGAGACAGCGAGACGACGCCCATGATCAGCTGGTTACAAAACTCGAGGAATAAGAAGTTTAATATCTATTAGTCTGCAAATCCGGAGACCTTGCGGCCTCACTGGTCCTCCTTCCCTCTGAGCTATCTCCACACCCAGCCTTGGATCAGAGGGGATTTAGAAGCAGAGCTGTCCGCAGCGAATACTTTTAATGCCCAGGCCGGGAAGAAAGCGGGTTAGGATCTGATCCCGCTGAATAGAGGACCCAGGAGCCTCCCGCCCCGGGTGCTCTGTAGTGCGGGGGCGCGCTGCGCGCTGCGCGCTGCGCCTGGGCGGCTGGCGGCGGCGGCGTGGGGGCGGTGATGCAGGTGTGACACCGGCCGGCTACTGCCTCCGCCAGGATCGCCCAGCGCCGCGTTAGCCGGAGCTGCACGCGGGGCTACCGGGGTGGAAGCTGCTCTGCCTGCATCCGGAGGCGTCCGCCAGCGGATTTCCCACCCAGGTAGGGGACGGCGTTGCTCGCTGCGGTGCAACCGACCCAGCTGGGGCGCGGACCCCGCGTGCGCCAGGACTCCCAGGCGCTTCTGCCTGGCCTGAAATATACACGCTCGCACCGCTGAGTGCTGTTCATAGTAAATGGCACAAAAGACGGAAGAGTCTTGGGAAGCCGGCGCAGAAAAGCAAGGGCTTGCCCGCTGCCTGGAGCTGTGCGCTTCTCTGAAAGCGGCCTCCCCAAGGGCTGTTTTTAAACCCTGTTTGAACTATTACCGCCATAAGTAGTTTTTCAACTTATAAATGTCAGGCTGCTGGCATTTATCGCTCCGTTTCCATAAGCTTCCTAGCCACTGCTTTTAGTTTCAGTTACATTCTAGTAGATGCATTTTGTTATTGTTGTTCGTTTGTTCTTAAAGAACAGAATTCAAACGTGCTTACACCTGGTGGCTCTTGGGGTTTGTGAGTGTGTATTTCTGCATGTGTAGGGCGCCCTCCGTGGGCGTGGGGGCCGTTTCTTAGGGACACAGAGAGGATTTGTTTATGGACGGGTTTTAGCGCAAGGGAAAGAACATGACTTGTTTTGCAGGGATGGGCTAGCAAATGCGTTTAGCCAGGGAGGAGCAAGGCACTGCTGTGTCTTCGGCAGATGGGTGGTAGAAATCTCTGCTGTCCAGGGTTCAGCAGGGCTGATGAAATACATTCCTTTATCCGGAAATTACAGATGCAAATTACTCCGTTTAAGGGTAACCTAACGTCGATGTCTTGGGCTCTGATAAGAGCAGCCCCAGTGGGGTGGGGTGGGACGCTGGGGGATGCTTGCTCCTTTCTAGCCCTTGGGGAGGTGAATGTGGGTGGTTTTGGGCTCAGACAGTGGCAGGTGAGGGGTGAGGAGGGTGCGTGGGGGAGGATTGGGCACTGTAGTCGGCTCAGCGGTGGTGCTGGTCTATGTTGATCTCCTCTGTATTTCTGCTTCCTGCCCTTTCCAGAAGAGGTGACTTGTTCTGCTTGTTCCAGTCAGTGAAGTAGGTACAGTCTCGTGCTGCATCTTTCTTGAGTCAGCAAATACTTACTGAGCACTTAGTATTTGTCAGAGATGGGATTAGTCCGTGGGGATGCAGAGATGATGATAACAAAGTCCTGGCTCCCTGAAGTTCACACCTGGTAGGGGGAGAAGCACTTTTAATCAGGAGGTGGATAAGTTCATGATGGTGTTGGAAAAGAGCAGTGAGAGCAGAGAGGAGGAGGAAATTGATAGTGGCAGTGATTGGTATAAAAATGAAGCCCTCATGGATTAGGCATGACATGGATTTCAGCAGGGACTGGGTCGCTCTCTTGGTCCTTCGGTCTGGGAGTGACCCACATGACTCTACCACACCATTGCCATCACTGCCAGTGGGTGGGCAGAGCTTTACAAGTCTCGGCTGGGCTGGTGTTTGCAGTACGTGACTAGAACCCAGTAGACACAGGCGGACACCCAGAGAGGAGCACATGCAATACAAGTCAGACTTTTAATTTTTTCCTTTTCTAATGAATGGCTTTCCTGAATTCCAGGACTATAAAGGTTTTGAAGCAGCACTTCACAAAGGTAGGGACTCTGGGAAATTCTGAGGGAGTTTCAGAGCAGATGAACTTCTGTCTGCTTCTCCCTGGATCCCTGACCTATCTGTTCTTGTACCAGCCCAGTTCGAAAGGAAAACTCTCCCTTGATTATCCCTAAATAGGTGGAATAACGGAAAGCTAAAGCTGTTACTACCAATCGTCTCTGGGAGATGAAAATCCAGTCTCAAGGATGTTTCTTCCTGGACCAAAACTGTGATGGGTGAAGAAAAATGATAGAATGAAAAGCTCTTGTATTGTGTAGTTGCCAGAGATGTGCATTACATGCACCTACATCATCACTAAGGTGTTTGAAAAGCAGCCTGCACTGTAAGAAGCATAAGTGTGGATGCTCAAACAGACCTAGGTGAGTGTCTTGGGCAAGTTACTTAGCCCCTCTTTGAGCATTAGTTTCCTGATCTGTAAAATGGAGACAGTAATAGGATTCTTATAATAGTTAAAGAAAAGATACTTTAAAATATTTACTCATTGTTACCCTATCATCATATATAACTTGCTTGGCACAAAGTAGGTGCTCAAGCAATGGCAGTTCATTCATTAAGTTCCTACTATGTATCAGTCACTGCTCTATGTATGGAAAATACAGACAAAACAACCAAAAAACCCTCTCTCAAGGAGCTTAAATTAATGAGTGTGTGTATGTGTGTGTGTGTAAGATGATGGACAAATAAATAAATATAGAGTGTATCAGCTGATAGGACATTGTAATGGAGAAAAATAAAGCTGGCTAAGAGGACTGGGGAGTGCTGCCAGAGGGCAGGGTGGGGCTTGTTATTTACTTTTATGCAGCTTGGCCAGGGAAGGCTTTTTTGTAAATGACATTTGACCAGACATCTGGGGAAGTGAGGGAGGAAGCCAGGGATTCTGGTAAATGACATTTGACCAGACATCTGGGGAAGTGAGGGAGAAAACCAGGGGTTGTAGGCAGCACCTGCAAAACCCTGAGACAGGAGAGAGGTGTGTTCCCAAGAGACCCAGAAAGGAGGTCACAGAAGCTGCTATTGAGTCAGACACCAGGACAGCAGTAGGAGCTGAGGTCATAAGGGCAACACGGCAGGTCTTTGAGATATTGCCTCTTAGGGTTCCTATTTGTCACTATGATGTATGCGCTGAGTTATTGTTTAAGGAATTGGATGAAATCCTAAACTCTGTGTTTAGAAGAAGGTTGGTTGGTAGACATAAGTACCTGTGGTCATTCAGAGCGTAAATGAATGCAGCAAGCAGAAAGCATAGGTCTTTGCAAGGCAACAGGAAGCACAGGAATTAAGGAAACTGTGCAATGCAGCAGTCAGGTTTCTCCCATCCGAATGGAGGACCATGTTTGTGCTTCTTTTGAATCTTAGTATTAAGATTTTTTGTTTCTTTTCCCCTACACTAAAAGAAAAGGTCATCTTTAGCAAACAGGCCAGCAGTCCTTGCCAGATATTCTTTTTTCTTTGAGCATGAGAAGAGTTTCTATGATCATGGAAAAGTGTTGGGATCATCTGGAAATATGCTGACCTTCAGTGACCATGGAATGCATTTACATAATATCATATGGCAAATTTATTTAAAGCCTCTGTCTTATGGGCTTAACATAAAGATCAGTTTGCTGCTCTGCCCTTTGGAAACTTTATTACTCTAGAGAAAATATGGTTTGGGGATTTGAGAGCCTCATCACTCAGCTGTCCTTGGTGCAGAAGGGCTACTGCAGTGTGTTCCGTGGCCAAAAATGGAGCTGGATGCCTGAGAACCTAGTCAAAGTTTCTGTGAAATAGAATGAGGTGAGGCTGGGTCAAGGTCAGAGAGTCTGACTGGGTGTCCCCAAGTCCACCTCAGAAGGCAACATTTACTTCTGTGAATTTCCCCCATCCAAGATCCGGCTTTTAGTATTGCTGCCTCAGAAACCTGATCTGTCTTTCCGGGCCACATCACAGTGACCTTGTTCACCTGCATGCCAGCATATTGATTTGCAGTGGTTGAGACACTGTATGGCTTGGTTAGTGGGTCTTCTTCCTACAGACCCCTGTCATAACAGCCAAATCACAAGGAGAAGGTCTCCTAAAGCACATTATTCAGAGCAAAGCAGCTTAGATGCCTACCCTAGGAACTGGTTACGTGCTTTAGGGCCAATCTTGCCAAAGGGACTACAGACCAAACCACCCCTAAACTTCGTGGCCTAAAACAACAGCCATTTGTTATTTTCTCTCCTGTCGTTTGGTTGGCTGGGTAGTTCCGCTGATCTGAGTTGTGCTTGCTTGATTTCAGCTGTGCTTGCTCATGTGATTTTGGTCTGCCGATGGAGTGTCTGAGGGCTGGCTGCTTTAGGATGGCCTCAGCTGGATGACTTGGCTCTGCTCCGTGTGGTCACTTATCCTCCAGCAGGCCAGCTCAGCATGTTCACATGGTAGTGGCAGGAGGCCAAGAGAAAGTGAAAACTTGTATGGCCTCTTGAGGCCTAAGCTTATAACTGGCACTCCATCACTTTATCCTTGTCTAATGACAAAATTAAGACACAAGATAGCCCAGAGTGGAAAGTTAGGAAAATAGACTCTACTTCTTGATAGAAGGAGCTACATAGTCACATTACAAAATGCATAGATACAGGGAGGGGAAGAATTGGGACATTTTTGCAATCAATCAATCAATCAATCAATCTACCATAGGGACCTGAATATTTATTTATTTATTTTTGAGATGGAGTTTCACTCTTGTTGCCCAGACTGGAGTGCAGTGGTGTGATCTCGGCTCACTGCAACCTCTGCCTCCGGAATTTAAGTGATTCTCCTGCCTCAGCCTCCTGAGTAGCTGGGACAACAGGCCTGCTCCACCACACCTGGCTAATTTTGTATTTTTAGTAGAGATGGGGTTTCTCCATGTCGGTCAGGCTGGTCTCAAACTCCTAACCTCAGGTGATCCACCCACCTCGGCCTCCCAAAGTGCTGGGATTACAGGCGTGAGCCACCGCGCCTGACTGGGACCTGAACGTTTAAAGTGCTCTTGGCTAGGTTTCCTTTTCTTCTGGACTCTACTTGATTGGGCAGAGTCTGTACTTGCTCTTTTGACTGTCTCTTTTTCTGTGTTTCTGTGGTTGACCATGTAGGGATGTATGTATGTTTAGATAATCATTCATTCACTAAATAAATATTTATTGAGTGGTCTCTATGTGCCAGGCATGTTATAGGAAGCAGACCCATCTCATGAAGCATTCATTCTAGTTGAGGGAGACAAATAATATGTAAGTAAATAACGTATGTTTTATATCAGGTGATTAAGGAACGTTGAGCAGGGAAAGGAAGATGGGAGGTGCCTGGTTGCGTTGGAGTGGGAGGGTAGGGTAAAGCGAGGAGTGGGTATTTTATGTAAGATGGTCAGGGTAACATGAAGGAAGTGAAGGAGTGAGCCAGACAG